TCTAGTGTTATAATATATATAGACTATTTATAATATATATATATATATATATATATATATATAAATATTGTTAATATAGTTATTATTATTATTAGTATATATACAGTTCATATACATATGTTAATATATTACTATACACATTGTTTATATATATGTATATTATATTTATTCTATACATAGGCAGCACATTCATAATTTTATGTTTATATATAAATATAGCTTTGAATTAATATGTATGTATTTATATATGCTGCATATATATATATATATATATATATATATATATATATATATATATATATATATATAATAGAAATAATAATCAATATATTTATAAACATTTTTATATATATAACGCATTTACAATATAATATTACTTATATACAGATACATAAATAAATACACAAGTACATCTATTAATAATAACCTATATGAATATTAATCAACATATATATATATATATATATATATATATATATATATATATATATATATATATATATATATATATACGTATATATGTTTATAGTCGTATCATAAACATATGTGTATATATATATATATATATATATTTTATGTGTATATATAGTATTAATTTGTATCTATGTGCATGTATATATTTATGCATCAATACCCATGTGTATGCAGGTATATGTATTGTACCCATGTGTATGCAGGTATATGTATTGTACCCATGTGTATGCAGGTATATGTATTGTACCCATGTGTATGCAGGTATATGTATTGTACCCATGTGTAGCAGTATATGTATTTTTACCCATGTATCTGCAGGTATATTATGCAGGTATATGTATTGTACCCATGTGTATGCAGGTATATGTATTGTACCCATGTGTATGCAGGTATATGTATTGTACCCATGTGTATGCAGGTATATGTATTGCTTATTTCCAAAAAAAATACGTCAACAAATTAATAGTGCCTTTAGTGAAGAATGGGAGGATAGTAAGTCCATTTTCTTTGTGCCGAGTACGACCAAAAGGAACTTTCAAACAGGGAGGACTCTTTTATCCGACACCCTGTTCTCATAATTCAGGTCTACACTTACTCATGATACTTGTGACGGTATATTCCTGTTGGTCTTATTTTGTTGCTTAATAATTACGCTTGATTGTGGCATGGCTGAGGTTAGTAAATTCTATAAAAGCTAAAATGACCGAATTAAATGTAGCAGGCTATATAATGAGAAACGGCCGGAATTTGGTACAAAAATGTAGGGCAAATGGCATTAGCTCCTTTGAAAAGTATAAATTGGATATATATTCTTACTGAAAAAGGTAGTACTACGCCAAAAGATTTTTTTTTTAAATGTTATGAAAATTACTCTGAAAATGCTAATCGTTTCTAAAAAAAAAAAAAAAAAAAAAAAAAAAAAAAGATTATGGCGATAGTTTCAGTTTTATAATTTCCATTATGACTAAGCTTCCACTGAATCATATAACTTATTTCGCTATATATAGTTTATAAATTTGATTTTAACGCAACTTCAACTCCAATGTATGTGTAATGAAAAGCAGTAGCTGGATATTTGTATAAACTGTTAGTGTCCTCGTGGGCTACTCAGTGTAAGTACGTCTGGCTTGGCCCGTCGGTCCTAACAGCATACTTACCTGGCACAGGAGATACCGTGATCACGAAGGCGGTTCTCCCAGGGCGAGGCTCACCATTGCACTCCGGTGGCGCTGACCCCTGCGATTAACCCAAATGTGGTTAACTCGAGTGCGCAATTTTTGGTAGCGGGGGACTGCGTTCGCGCTATCCCCCTTTAAAATGATTGCTTATTGAAATAAATTGTGAGGTCTCTAGTCATAGCATTGGAACAAATTATTGACACAAATCACAGAACTGAATTATATACCACGCGATTACTCGTCTATATCAATTTTTGGTAGCGGGGGACTGCGTTCGCGCTATCCCCCTTATAAAAAGGACAGGTTTAAGTGGAATGTGTATCTGAAAATTCCCCAAGTCACCGCTAATAGCCTTGGTGGTTAACACGGCAGATTTTGAGTGTTCAGTCTAAGACAGTGTTCCATTGCAAAATGCCAAGTATTGGAAAACGTAATGTGCAAACTAGAGAAAAGTTAGGTACTCAGGAAGTGCGCCTGAAGACCATTTGCTCTTTGGCAGTTTTCAGCTACCAGTTTCAAAATGCAAATTCAATTCCTATACCATAGCGACGTAAAGCATGCATGTTTATATCACATCTTGCATGTATGTGTGTTATAAGTGCAGACGCGTGCACAAGTATGTACAATTACTCATGTAACATATTTGGATTCTAATTGATCGTAGTCCACAGATGTGGATATCTTGTAATTTTCTACAACAGTTCAGTCAATCTCGTTAGCGTTATAGACCGATCATATTCACAAATGCGTCAACCCTTAAGATGATTATATCTCCTAAAAACATTTGCTTCTCAGTAAGAAAAGGCTCTAATGCCTTTAAACCTGCAATTACTTTTGAATTACAAATATTCACAATACAATCATGAATGTGCCTTTGGAAAAACAAAAAGTAATGAGTGGAATAATAAATGAGCACTTTTTATATCGTGTTTTACTAATTACCCTTTACTAAAATGAAAACAGTCGGAAATATACGAGATTATGGCCTGGTAGTTAAAAATATTTTAAAAATTAAAAATGGAAAGGGTGAGGTATTCTAATTACTGTATATACATGTATACATGTACATATACATGAACATATATGGATCAGCTGATATATGCCAGTTGTGGCGTCATAAATGAGAAACGTATATGTGAGTTGTTGCAAATTTAAACTTGGGAGACAAGAAACTAATACTGTTATCATCCCTATATAATAAAGGATCCCAGAGACTAAAATCCCTTTTATCTGCAGGTGGCATCAACCGTCCATACTAACTTACATCTGTATATGCTTGCAAACTTGACTACGAACATCATCCCCAAGATACACTTAATATGATATATAAATCTTATGACATGCCATATACACGTCAAAGGTAATAGATAGGTCTTGGAATATATATTTATAAATATAAAATTTTAATTTAACATGTATAATTCATGTGTACAATGTGAGCTGTATTCACCCTCGTGTATGAGAATAATGGAGCAGTAATACAATTATAGGGGTATAAGGTCAAAATTTGGCTGAAAATTGTATAAAAAAGTATACATTCCTCGTCTCTATTCCGTATAGAAAGATACTAGACTTTTTTCAAATAAATTTGTTCTATATTCTAAGTAGTCTTAACAGTTATTCTTGCATATGCATATAATATATATATAATATATATTATATATATATATATGTATATGTATATGTATATGTATATATATGAAAACAGATATAGAAACATATATATATGTACATGTATAAGCAAAACATACATATGTATAAATACATGTATAAATACAACACATCTGTATATATACATGTATAAATATAACATATACATGTATATATAAAACAAAACATACATATGTATATATACATATGTAAACATAAAATATATTAATATGTATATATATATATCAATTCATGTTTATATCTCAATGTCTTTATCAATATATCTCAATGTGTCTGTGTATATCAATATATAAATCAATATCAATAACTGAATATGTATACCTCAATATATATATATATATATATATATATATATATATATATATATATATATATATAACGTATGTATATCAATATATATTCATATATATGTATATATATATTGATACGTATACATATATATCCATATCTTATTATACACAACCTGTAAATCCCAAATACCCAAAGCTTATTCGGAATGTATTTTATTGTCCAAAGAAACTGTACAGTTGAAGTTGCTATGGGAAGTTTTTTTTGTTACTCTCATCAATTTCTTTTTTCTCCTGTGAAGGAGATTTCAAAAGTTACAATTCTACTAGTGGATTTATATTCAACCACTCAGCCTGTGCAAGCCTCCTCTGGACACGGTGAACCGAGTCAGAACGGTCATCAATGCTCTTACGAAGAACGTAAGAACCGCTTCCCGCTCAGAGGCTCACACTGAAAGTCCTCATCGTGGTTGAATATATTCCGAGAATCTCGGCGAGAAACCCGGCAATCTCACTATAGAATTGATCCTATAAAGTATGATCTTAAAGTTGCTGTGAAGTTTGTCTGCCCAACCTAGATTTACTGATGACTTATGGTGGGTTTCCTAGGAATTTTTTGTTAGTTCATGATTAAAAAACTCTCTAGGACCTGGTCTATATTTTTAAGAGGTATTATTTTTAAAATAAACGATATTTGAATATATATATTGAAAATAAAGAAAACCCTGCGACAATATTTTTGGCAATACTCAAGTAAGAGAATGTTTTTTTTTTAGGTGTTAGTATTTTCAGGTCCATAATATTGCTTGTCTGTGTTCTATTTTGCCGTGTATTTATAATTGGAGTGGGAGATTGGTGGTTATAGACACTACGTGTGAAATACCTTTTATTAGTCAACATGTAATCCTACGTAGTTCAAATATATTTGGAAAATTCGTTCACTGCCTGTAAATGGAATTCTCATTATAGCTGAAAACTAAGATATTTCAGGTATCAAGCACAAAGATAACCCAAATAGAAATTAAAATCGTTTTTAAAAGCATTTAATTAATTTTACCTGCATCCCTGTGAGAGAGAGAGAGAGAGAGAGAGAGAGAGAGAGAGAGAGAGAGAGAGAGAGAGAGAGAGAGAGAGAGAGAGAGAGAGAGAGAGAGAGAGAGAGAGAGAGAGAGAGAGAGAGAGAGAGAGAGATACAGATATATATAGATATATAAAGATATTTATATTAGAATGCACGGAATATAATAACACAAATGAAATAATAAATTGATATAATAGATAAATGATATAGTCTTCCGGAAAGAGGGGAATAAAGCTGCTTCGTAAAACAAAAAACCTCTACAAGTCCTCAGTAGTCGGTGGTTGGGTGCAGAGATACCAAGTAGTCTTTAGCTTTGCGCAGTGGCAGTATCGTAACCAATGAGGTTTAACCGAGGTGCGATTATTGCTAGTTGAAAACTTTTCCCAATACCCCGCCTGGACGTCGTGAAAGACCGACGGCCACGGCAATTTTTGATAGCCCGTTTCAGGGCTGCAAATAATCCTTATGTTAACCAAATTAATGATGAACATCATCGCTCCAAGCTTGATATACCATTAGACCTCTGAGCAAGTTCAAGTTTTTATTTTTAATGTTAGCAGTCAGAAAAGTCGATCCGTGGTTGAGCTTTGTATTTCTACCAGTTTCAACACAATAGTTTGTTTTACGATTCAACTAAAACTGGGTTTGGACACCCCCTTCTTGCGTGAAAAGAATGTAATAATGAGTAATTGCAACATGATAAAATAAATACGATAATGATTTAAACATTAAATCGTTAATATTAAATAGGGGTAAGGATAATGGTTGATGGTAACGAAGAAGTATTGAAGGCGGTGGTGGCGCCATGATATTAACAAAAATGAAAACTTTTCAAACGAAAATGATATTGATAGTGGTGGTGAAATGATAACAGTTATTGACTACAACAGATAAACAGTTGATACCTTGCACTTCTTTTGAGTCCCCCCTATACTTCGTTTTCTTTTACACGTTTTCATTTCCCCACTTGCGCTTATGTAGGGAATTTTGTTAAATTACTTTTTCTTTTCCCGTTACTTCTGGGCAACATCATAAAAAGAAAGTACATAACCAATTAATCCATAAACTAAGTATCTGTAGTACACGCATATACATGTACACCTATAATGATAGATATCTTGGAACTATATTTTAAAGCGTTGGCATAGGTTGTAAATAAAAAGATGTATATGTAATTAATCAATGACACAGGTGTTTCAAATGTTGATATCCGTTGATAGAATTATAGAAAATTCCATATGCATTCGAACAGAAGAAGCAATTTTCCCATTTGTACTTACTTACCGTCACATTTTTTATTAGTTTATTATTCTGCTCGCAGCATGTCCTCAGTCTTCCTCTGTTGGTGTCCGTGATGCCACTCCTTGGTAACTCTGGTTTCCCTTCAAAACGCATAAATCTTTCGCCTTTTACTAAAGATTTCCGTGGAGGGGAACAACTCAATGAGTCTTACTCAATTTTTTCTATAGCCCACTTCGGTGGGTTTAAAATACGAGATCTTAAATTACCAACTACTATCCAACAATACACTTCACGAGGTGTGTTTTATATACACTACAATGGTATAGTCAGGTGGCAGCTCTGAACAAGTGAATTGCTCCAGGTGCGATGCTTTGAGTCATGTAATATTGTCCATCCAAGCTATTTCACCATACTGAACATACCGTCCTAATCATTCTTGTTAGCCGTTTCTATAAAACACACACACACACACACACATAACGAGATCTATGTGGATTGCAAATTAATTTTCATTTGTCGCAACATATTTCAAGCGGCAGGCAGAGGAGACAAAAGAACAAGTAACGTCCCACATAGTACCTCCTATAGAGTATTCACTCCACACTGAAAATTGCTAGCGTACTTGGAGGCACTGTTAAGCTATACCATGTTAGGAAAGACTGGAAATGGGAAAAGATGTCACACCAAACCAAACCTCATAACTTATCACATACCTTGCGGCGGCTAGAACAAAGCACATGTGAGACAGGATGTGGACTCCATGAACTATTAACACCTTCCTTCAACATCTTATAAAGATCAGCGCCTTCGTTGTTCACGTCGACAGCGACGGCTACCTCCCCAAACGGTTCCAAGCCACTATCATTAAGCATGACCTAATCCCAGAATAGAGGAAGATGGTAGAAGTGGCGTCAAACACCTTCAGCATCACAACTGGAAGCTAAGAACTAGCAAAGGTTGTCATATCACGATATATGTAAATATAACGCTATGTGTTTCTCACTATACTTCACCAATTGAGAGGTTTGAGTATTAATGGCATATCCAAACAAACATCACTATGATAAATATAATCAGCGAAAACCAATCCTACACTGAAATCAGAACACCATCTCAAGCCTTTCTTTAACATAAAAACATGCCAAACAAATTGTAATACAAGGAAATATCGCTCTCACAATATGCAAACATTTTTTCAAGATGCCATGTAAAATTAAAACTGCAGTTTTTCTAACACTGAATCACACCCATTCTTGAATATCTATCAGTTCCTCTGAACACTACCATCAGCAGACTACATGCGATTCAGAACTGAGCACTGGTCTGAGCAGATGTTAGATATCCAAACATTCTCTCTGCCGAATATCAACATGTGTATTTCCCAAAAAAAACCTGTGAACATCCACTTAAAAGAATATACAGATGATATAGGGGAGCTAGAAACCCACAAAGACACTACATGCATCTGGTGGTGGAGTTATACCGTGTCTCTCCCTCTCTGTCTTAGTCTGTTAATACATGTTCTTTTATGCATCAGCTCTCTTTGAGGGCAGAATCTTATATCCTAGAAGTGCTAAAAGAGAAAGCAGGACAGACACCTGCGTCTGCTCAAAGAGGAAAGGCAGCTACTGGGGAGAGGTGTGTGTAGCCTACCATCCAATCTTGCTATGTATTGTTTACATTGCTCGGCTGTATGCTCGTCCTCGATCCGTCTGCAATGCTTGAAACACTGTAATGAGCACATAGGGATACAGATTTTGCTTGACATCATACAAGATGGTTCCTGGTGATCTGATGGTCGCTAGGGTCATTACGTGTCAGAGGAGTGGGTATGGTGGAAGTTTCACCCTGAAGTGCAACACCCAGTAGCAAGGAGGGTCATAATGTCTTCAGAGGTTTTATTAATAGTGATGAAGTATTGGTGCTGCTGACGAGTAAGCAAGGCAGGTGAGCCAGACTGGCAAAGGTGGTGGTGTAGAGTGCGGGAACATATTTTGAGCGACTTTGTCTGGAAGGTAGCACTGATGTGTGTGGTCAGCATGTAGTAGGGCAGACCCAATGCATGTAAGTGTGGATCAGAAGTGGACTTGGTACTGATGACTTGAAGTTTAAAGATGGCGAGGAGGTACTTCGACAGTAGTACCTTGATGGTTGATAACGTGGATTGGCAACAGGTATCAGCGAGGAGCATGGCTTTGCAGGGTAGTAGGTGAATTAATGTTGGTATTGCGAGGTTTATGGACATCACTGCCATCAGATATCAGCGCAAGAGTTTCTTGAACACCACTTACCATCAGATATCAGTGAGAGAGGCCTTAGTACAGGTGAATGCAAGGGGTCCTGGCTTGTTGAGTTTATTGTTGAAAGGGAGATGTGAAACTCTTGCAAGACTTCTGTGTCCCCAGGGACTAGGAGGAGGTGGTGGAGTTGGACCCTGTGTTGGTTGGTCTGTCTGCCGTGTCTCTCCCTCTCCCTGTTTGATGATGTGTCCTTTTATGCAGTAATTCCTTCGACGACGGATGCTTACTTACATCTTAGAAGTGCCAAAAATGAGCAGGGCACCTGCATCCACTTAGGGAGGAAAGGCAGCTGCTGGGAACAGAGGTGTGAAGCCTACCATCCAGTCTTGTTAGGTATTGTTTAGAAATGTATGGAGATGCAACGGTGATTAGATTTACAAACTTACTTCGGTAAGTGGTTTTTGGTAGCATAATAGCCAATCAGTTACATGCATGCAATTGCCGACCAGAACACGGTATACAGGTAGAGTGGAACCAATTTGCATGAGTATATATATACACATACACATTTTATACACCGCTATGCAAAATATCACCACTTTCCACCTACTTACACAAATATTTACAGAAAGAAAAAAAATGTAGTGAGGCAACCCTTTATCTCTTATTTTGAATTCTTTTCTTTTCTTCGCTTCTCTTCAAGGAGCATGATATAAAACCACAATCTGGATCGCATCTTCTTGTCCCGGCAGCTCCTGCTTGGTCTGGTTTCATGAAATAGATCATCTACTGGGCATCTCTTTGGCAGTGAGACGCAGGACATGGAGGCTACTGTCTTCAAAAATACCCGTGGGAGGCCCCTGGATAGCGTGGGAGAGGACGAACCTCACTCCCAGAAAAAGAAAATTAAAACAGACAGACTAGGCACTTCCAATAACCATAAAATGTAATCTTCGCATTAACCATTATACAATGGAGCTGCCGAAATCTTAGCTCTAAAGTAAATGACTTTAGATTATTAGCTTCGTCTTATGCTCCCGATTTTATAGTTCTCCAAAAACCGCACTTAACACACCTTGTCTCTGACGAGGTCAGAATTTAAAACATAATTCATGAAGGAACCAATTTCGATTCACCTAGGGACATTGCTAATGCACTCGCCAGGCAGTTCTCTTATACAACTCCGACAACTCAATATATCATTTTGAAATGTCTCTCCACATAGATGGCTCTGCCTTAGCTTTCACCTTTCCTTGAATTGGCGGGAAAAAGTATTTTTTACTAGTGCTATGAATATCAATGATGTTATTTTTATTATAAACACTATAATTACTATAATGTTATAAACTTTATTAATAGCAAAATACGATAACGTAAAATATTTTCGTAAATTAAAGAAAAGGGCAAATGGGTGAGACAGGCAGTACTCATAATTGGCTCATTGGTGATTTAGTACAAGTGTAGCCGTCTATGTGAAAAACAAAAACAAAAAAAAAAAAAAAAAAAAAAAAAAAAAAAGTTAATTCATAGTGGGCATGGTATGGATATGTGACATGCCCGTCGCGAATGGGCTAATCATGATGCCATGATTAACACATATACGTGACATGCCCACTGTGAGTTTACTTATTTTTATTGTTTTTTTTTTTTTTTTTTGTTTTTTGTTTTTTGTTTTACATAGATGGCTACACTTATACTAAAACACCAATGAGCCAGTTACGAGTACTGCCTGTCTCGCCCGTTTACCCTTTTCTTTAATTTACAATATTTTACGTTATCTTATTTTGCTATTACTATTGTTCATAACACTGTAGTAATTATAATGTTTATAATAAAAATAACACCATCAATATTCATAGCACTAATAAAGAATATATTTTCCCGCCAATTCAAGGAAAGGTGAAATCAGGTAAGGCAGAGACATTAAAAAAATATATATATACATATATATATATATATATATATATA